CAAAAGTTTAAACTGAGAGAATGTTTCATTTTAAGGGAAAAATCTGTTGTTTCCAAATTTCATGGCGTCAACAAATCCCAAAAAAGTTGGGACAAGTCCATTTTTCCCACTGTGTGGCATCCCCCCTTCTTCTTCCAACACTCAACAGATGTCTGGGGACAGAGGAGACCAGTTTCTCAAGTTTAGAAATAGGAATGCTCTCCCATTCATGTCTAATACAGGCCTCTAACTGTTCAATCGTCTTGGGCCTTCTTTGTGGCACCTTCCTCTTTATGATGCGCCAAATGTTCTCTATAGGTGAAAGATCTGGACTGCAGGCTGGCCATTTCAGTACCCGGATCCTTCTCCTACGTAGCCATGATGTTGTGATTGCTGCAGAATGTGGTCTGGCATTATGGTGTTGAAAAATGCAGGGTCTTCCCTGAAAGAGATGACGTCTAGATGGGAGCATATGTTGTTCTAGAACCTGAACATAGTTCTCTGCATTAATGGTGCCTTTCCAGACATGCAAGCTGCCCATGCCACAAGCGCTCATGCAACCCCATACCATCAGTGATGCAAGCTTATGAACGGAGCATTGATAACAACTTGGGCTATCCTTGTCCTCTGTGGTCCGGATGACATGGCGTCCCAGTGTTCCATAAAGAACTTCAAATCGTGACTCATCTGACCACAGAACAGTCTTCCATTTTGCCACACTCCATTTTAAATGACCCCTGGCCCAGTACAAACGTCTGAGCTTGTGGAGCTTGCTTAGAAATGGCTTCCTCTTTGCACTGTAGAGTTTCAGCTGGCAACGGCGGATGGCACGGTGGATTGTGTTCACTGACAATGCTTTCTGGAAGTATTCCTGAGCCCATTCTGTTATTTCCTTGACAGTGGCATTCCTGTTTGAGGTGCAGTGACGTTTAAGGGCCCGGAGATCACGAGCATCCAGTAGAGTTTTACGGCCTTGACCCTTACGCACAGCGATTGTTCCAGATTCTCTGAATCTTTTGATGATGTTATGCACGGTTGATGATGATAACTTAAAAGTCTTTGTTATTTTACGCTGGGTAACACCATTCTGGTATTGCTGCACTATCTTTCTGCGCAACAATGGTGGAATTGGTGATCCTCTTACCATCATGGCTTCTGAGAGACACTGACACTCTGAGAAGCTCTTTTTATACCCAATCATGTTGTCAATTGACCTAATTAGTGTTAATTGGTCTTCCAGCTGTTCGTTATATGCTCAATTTCCTTTTTCCAGCCACTTATTGCTACTTGTCCCAACTTTTTTGGGATTTCTTGACACTGTGAAATTTTGATCAACATATTTTTCCTTTAAAATGTTACATTTACTCAGATTAAACTTGATCTGTCATCTATGTTATATTACGAATAAAATATTGACATTTGCCATCTCCACATCATTGCATTCAGTTTTTATTCACAATTTGTTTAGTGTCCCAACTTTTTTGGAATCCATTTTGTAGAATTTCTTTAAATTTAACTAAGCAATCAATGAACGTCATGATTTCAATTCATAAAAAACAGTATGAAATTCCCTGACAGCTGCCTCCTTTCAATCTACAAACCTCTCTTCTCCATGTCAGCCTTGTCATATGCAGGTCTCAGTCGGGCCCCCTTATCAGCAAGCAGGGCCACCAGAGCCTGTGTCACCACAAAATTGGGAGAGGTGATAAGTTTGTTCTCTTCAGCAACACTGCGCAGGAAGCTGGGGAGGAACTTTCTCTGGATGGGGTCGTCCACAGTGGTCAGGTTCATGCCTGTGGCTGCAGAGATCAGATTCTGGACCAAAAACACAACAGCAGCTCTGAAACACTGAAGACCAAGAGCCTCTGGAAGATGTTTAAAATGTTCAAAAAGTTTCAGGCTTTTTAGATTAATTACAAATTTTACACAAATGTCAAGGTTTGATATTCTAGAGAGAAAAAAGTTTAATTGCTTTTTGTTTAACAACATTATTAAACTACAGGACAAGCTAAACGGGTCAGTGTACTGGTGCTTCAATGCTTATGCAGTGGTATAATAAATTAATGATTCTAAACTAATTTAATCTTGACTTGGAAAATTATTAGTCCTCAACGGAATGTTGTTTATCTCTGTCATTTACATGAATATCTTCTTGTTGCTGATCAGAAAGATGACATGAAGATGCTGTTGTGAGAAGATGAACATAGTACCTGGGTGCATAGCTGCACCAGCAGCTTGGCAGCGTTGGGACTGTTAGAAGCCAGGCAGCCCACAGCTGTGCTCAGGTAAGCCAGGCAGGAGATGGGTTTGCTGACCTTGGTGGCCCCGCGAGGCCTTTCAGCATGGCCCAAGCCTACTGTGGGACTGGTAGAGAGGCCGGCCCGACCTGCAGCAGCCAGGCACATGAGCCTGACCAGAGTCCTGATGTCAGTCAGACCGAGAGACTCGAGACCTGCTGCAAGACTGCAGCTCGACCCACTGTGTAGGAGAAAACTGAAATTTGACACAATCCTTAAGAAAACATTTTTTTCCAAGCAACGCTGTAAACAAGATACTGTTCTCGATGTCCTGCCTGGTAAAATAAAAATTTGGAAATATTGTCAACTTCTTAAAAAATGTAAACAGTGATTAATCAGTGACTTTTTATATTAATGACATTTATGACATTTGATGATCATGACTGTAGTTTCACTTAAAAAAATCTAAGAGAGAGACATTTGCAACATTAAACTCAACATTTGTGGTAAAGGAAAGTAACAGTTAACTTATGACAAAATGATTTTTTTAAATACTTTTTTTAAAGAACATTTTGTACAATAAATAACATTACGAGGTCAAGGATTGACAAAATTAATCAAAATAATGGAAACACACACACACACACACACACACAGAGATAAACATAGACCTATATTGTAAGTTTACACAATTAATTGGCGAGACAGAGGGATCAGGCTGGAAAGGATGTGCAGCAGGTTAGGCTTATTAAAGATAGGAATGGTAATGTTTTAACAAGTGAGGAGAGTGTGATGAGAAGATGGAAGGAGTACTTTGAGGACCTTAAGGATGAAGAGAATGAAAGAGAAATAAGAGTAGAGGTCATAGAAACTGTGGACCAGGAAGTGGGAAAGATTAGTGAGGGTGAAGTCCGAAAAGCTCTAAAAAGAAAGAAGAAGGGGAAGGCAGTAGGACCTGATGACATACCAGTGGAGGTTTGGAAATGTCTTGGAGAGATGGCAGTGAGTTTATTTACCCAAATATTCAATGACATATATGAGAGTGAGAAAATGTCTGAGGAATGGAGAAGAAGTGTGCTGGCGCCCATTTTTAAGAACAAGGGTGATTTACAGAGTTGTAGCAACTACAGGGGAATTAAGCTGATGAGCCACACGATGAAGATCTGGGAGAGAGTTGTAGAAGCAAGACTTAGACGAGAGTTGACTATCTGTGAGCAGCAGTATGGTTTCATGCCAAGAAAGAGCACCACATATCCATATTTGCTTTGAGGATGCTGATGGAGAAGTACAGAGAGGGTCGGAAAGAACTCCATTGTGTCTTTGTGGATTTAGGAAAAACATCTGACAGGGTGCTGAGGGAGGAGGAGTGGTGTTGCATGAGGAAATCTGGAGTGGCAGAAAAGTATGTTCGACTGATACAGGACATGTATGAGGACAGCAGGACAGTGGTGAGACGTGCTGTAGGAGTGACAGATAGCTTCAAGGTGGAGGTGGGAGTGCATCAAGGATCAGCACTGAGCCCCTTCTTGTTTGCCCTGGTGATGGACTGACAAACAGATGAGGTCAGGCAGGAATCACCATGGACTAGGATGTTTGCAGATGACATTGTGATCTGTGGTGAGAACAGGGAACAGGTGGAGGAGAACTTGGAGAGGTGGAGGTATGTACTTGAAAGAAGAGGAATGAAAGTCAGTCCTAGTAAGACAGAGTCCATGTGTGAATGAGAGGGAGAAGGTGGAACAGTGAGGCTACAAGGAGCAGAGGTCCCAAAGGTGCAGGACTTCAAGTACTTGGGGTCCACTGTCCAGGAACATGGGGAGTGTGGTAAAGAGGTGAAGAAGAGAGTCCAGGCAAGATGGAGTGATGGAGAAAAGCTTCAGGAGTGATTTGTGACAAAAGTGTGTCAGCAAAAATTAAAGGAAAAGTTTACAAAACAGTTGTGAGACCAGCTATATTGTATGGTCTGGAGACAGAGACATGGACAAAAAGACAGGAGACAGAACTGGAAGTGGCAGAAATGAAGATGGTAAGGTTCTCCTTAGGAGTTACAAGGCTGGATAAGATTAGGAATTAACTCATCAGAGGTACAGCACAGGTTGAACAACTGGGAGATAAAGTTAGAGAGGACACACTGAGATGGTTTGGACATGTTTAGAGGGACAGTGGTTTAGACATGTCCAGAGGAGGGACAGTGGGTATATTGGTAGAAGGATGTTAGAAATGCATCTGCCAGAAAAAAAGACAAAGAGAAAGGCCAAAGAGGAGATATATGGATGTGGATGCAGTTAGAGGACATGAAGGTAATTGGAGTGAGGACAGAGGATGCAGAGGACAAAGTGAGATGGAGGAGGATGACTCGCTGTGGCGACCCCTGAAGCGAGAAAAGCCGAAAAAAGAAGACTGTAAGCTTTACACATATTCTGTGTGGGTTTATGAGCCTTTTCATTGAGGATTTTTCACTTTTTGTGGTTTATAAAATCCAGCCATTTTCTCCAACGCCTCTTTTCCAACTCCCCCTGTAGGTGTAGAGTGAAAAGCATACATTCCATCAGTTTAATGTTTTCAACTCTAGAGATAAAGATTGTATCTGTATTTCTATTGTATATTTTCCTGTCTGCTGTGCATGTTTGTGTTCTTTTGTACAGCACTTTGGTTGGCCTTGTTGCTGTTTTAAGTGCTATATAAATAAATTGGTATGGTATGGTATGGTATGGTATAAAGAGGTTCATAGTAAGAGGATCTTTATATAGTCAACCTTTTGTTATGGCCTTTTCAGCAGATATAAAAAAAACGTTCAGAAAGAAAACATAACTATGGCTAGTTCATCTGGAAAATATCCTAGATACTTTGGAGTAAATGAACAAGTACCGTAACATTAAAACCAGGTGTCTTGGGGATTATTTTCTATATTTCTGTCCAATTCGATTCAATTCAAAATAATTTATTAATCCCAAAGGGAAATTAAATGTTGTTGTAGCTCATCATCGTGGTTTCATTAAGAGTTGTTATGTATGCTGAAGGCTGTGGGCAGGAAGGATCTCCCGCAGCAGTCCGTCCCACAGTATCATGATCTGCATCTGAGTGTTGGAACCCACGTGCAGGAAGACGCTGAGAGACTCCGGTAAAAATAAGTAATGAGTTTATTTTCTAAAACAAAGCAAAAAGCTGTTGAGGTAGCAAACTTACTTTTAGGAGGACACACAGGGGTACAGAGCATGAAGCCTTAGGACAAGGGCAATCCAGAGACACTGACAAAACACCAAGGGGCTGAATATATATACAGACACTAACAAGGTGAAATGAAAGGCGCCTGCAGTGATTAGGATTAGACACAGGTACAATAGTGCTGGAACACAGGAGGAGAAATGCAGAGGGGTGACAGGCAAACATGAGGAAAAACACAACATGTATGACAGGACCCCAGAAACCCTACACAGAGCAGTCCGTCCCACAGCGGATCTGAAGAAACTGGCTGCAGATGCTGATCCGTCCACCTGGATTCAGCGGGCCTCTCGGTCCTCCTGGGCAGCAGGACCACCTGAATGTTGGGCAGAACTCCTCCCTGAAGGATGGCCACTCATCCCAGCAGCTTGTTCAGGTCCTCATAATTGCAGACAGACAGCTGCAGGTGTCGGGGATGATCCTGGTCTTCTTCTTGTCACGAGCCACGTTTCCTGCCAACTCCAAGATCTCGGCAGTCAGTCACTCAAGCAACTCCACCATGTAGACGTAGACAGAGATGCATCCACGGTACCTCCTTTACAACTCATTTGGGATTTGGAGCTGTATTTGAGGTATTATTTGAGCTTTGAGATGTTAATCAGCTGCACCTGGTTGTAAAAACCACCTTATTGTTATGGATACGCAGCATAACAAATGTCCAAAAGTAAAAGGTTTTAGTAAAAATCCTTCCCGCTGCACAGCATCTAATACCAGAGGAAACGATCATCTGAAAAAAGCCATTTAAGTCCGGAAAAAAGAGGAAATAAATATTTCAAAAGCAATATCCCAGAATGAAAGTAACAGCTACTCCAACATGCAGCCACCTTGAGCAGTGCAATTCTAGAACATGGCAGTCCAGAAGAGCCGTATACACGGGCAGGACCAAAGTACCGTATGTCTATGATCTGCAGTGATCTGCAATATGTAAACCCCACAATTTCTCCAGTACAATGCAGATATATCACTGAGTTTAGACTTGCTTGGGTTTTATGAAGAAGCAGATGATGTTCTTCCAACCAAAGTCATGTCAGGCGTTTGCGTTATCATACCAATTACCATACCAATTTATTTCTAAAGCACTTAAAATACAACATAGCAGCCATCCGAAGTGCTGTATAAAAATAAAAACAAACAAAAAACAACAGTAAAACAATAAAACAACTAAATATTTATAAAAAATAATCAGATCATCACAAGTAAAAGAATAAAACGTTAAGACAGAGATTCTAACTCACTCAAAGTTAAAAGCCAATGAAAAAATGTGTTTTTAAACGAGTTTTAAAAACAGAAAGTGTTGGGACCTGCCTGACCTCCAGTGGCAGCTCATTCCACAATTTAGGAGCCAGAGCTGAAAAGGCTCGTCTCCTCTGGATTTATAAAAGGCTTTTTGGACTGCTAAAACCATCTGGTCAGAGGATCTAAGAGCACGTGATGGTATGTAAAGGTGAAGCAGTTGAGACAAATAAGAGGGACTAAGATCATTCAAAGACTTAAAAACAAACAATAGAACTTTAAAATGGATTCGAAACTTCACAGGAAGCCAATGTTAGTTCAGTTAGTTGACATAAATTGTATCCACAAAATTACATTTTTACATATATTTTAATTATAATTATATTTTTATATAATTCCTTAACTTTGCTGTATGTATTTTATATTCTTTATGTAATTTATTCCTGTTGATCTTTGTTCTTACTGTAAAGTGTCCTTGGGTGTCATGAAAGGCGCTTTTAAAATAAAATGATGATTATTACTATTATTATTATTATATATAATCAGAGTCAGGCCAAGTTCACAGCATACTACTGGTAAAATTGTAATCCAGCACAACCTGCCACATGGACAGGTGGTCTGTGTCTATATTGGCTTCCCACTAGCTCTACAACAGCGAGGAGGGTAGAATACCACCAGCAGGATGAAAAACAAGATGTGTCAAAGGCCAGATGAGCTTTGTTTAAGCCAATGATAGCCATGCACAACTGCTGTTCTGATAAGTACCTATAAACTAGGAATCAGTTACGGCACCAAGCAACGAGATGTTCCAATGTCAATCCAGATATGCTGTGTTGTTGATCTATGGGGTCTCTAGCCAAGGGACACTACGTTAAGCCATGAAGTGTCGACATCATGGTGCAGCCTGGCAGTTTTGCTTCATAACAGTATCTGTGCTCTAAGGGTCCATTGCACATATTTTGAGTGAAACCGCATCTTTCTCTCTGCGCTTTGGCTGTTCATTTACAAGACACCAGTCGCCCCCCTCGTTGAATCCGGAAGTTTTTCAACACACCTCTCAGAGTGGAGCTTTTCTGTTGGACCTCCCGAAGACGTATCAAAAGTCCCCTCAGAGGTGTTAAAGCATGTGCGCACTACAGGCGTATATTTCATGCACGCACGAACCAACGACACATTCCTATCAACAACAATGGTACATGAGTATAATCCTGCTTTCTGTGCTACAACTGATGGGTCTTGTAGTTAATCTACACCAGAATGTAGCTGCTGTGAATGACATCTGTGTTGGGAAGAGAACCAGTCAAATTCAGTTAGAAATCGTTAACGAGCCTGCCGAGGCAGGTGTTTATTTCACGCGTGGCACTCAAGTATAACATAAAAACTGTGCTAAATAATAACTGTAACAATAATGAACAGTATTTATGTTAGTGGTGGGAGATGTAATGAAGCTATCTGGACATTATGCAATTTAAGTTATGTGATTTAAACTTTGTTGATGATAATGTGAAACATATTGCTTGTTATTAAAGTTGAAACTGAAGAAGAAAATGAAGAAGAAAATGAATGAATTATTTATTTATTTATTCAACATCACAAACTGTATGTCACACAAACACTGATAAGAAAACTGAACACTATTAAAAACACGTTAACCCAACTGTACTCTTCCTCTCTGTTGTCATCCTGGGTACTGGTCCCATGTTGTTTATCTGGCTTGTTCAAGCTGTCACTCCTTTGCTTAATGCAGCTTAAAACATTGAATGGACTGGAAAAAAGAACTGAGGGGAATTTTAAATGGATAGTTTATCCAACGCCTCTCTCTTTGACGTCCTCCTGCTCCACTGAGACGACGGCCGAGGTGTATGCTATTTTGAAACCAGTCCCTCTGGTGGGAGGACAGCTTCTCCTCGCAGGAAAAATAAAAACTCAGTTGGTTGTTGTGTAACCAAAGTAAGCACAAGAAAACATTATAAAAAAGTAAAATCTGGTCCTCTGGACATTAAAAAAAAAACCACACACAGACCAGTATTTGCAGTTTGACTCCCATCACCCTTTGGAGCACAAGTTAGGAGTCATCAGGACTCTGTACCACAGAGCAGACAGCGTCCCCACTAACTCAGGAGCCAGGCAGAAGGAGAAATCCCACAGAAGACAGGCTCTAGAGCAATGTGGATATCCTAACTGGGCCTTCCTAAAAGAAGAAACCCAAACAGGACTCCAGTCAGCCAACAGGTGAAAAGGAGGAACCCAGACCCAGACCAGTGGTCATTCCATATGTTGAGGGAGTATCAGAGAAACTGAGACGTTTATTTTCTAAACAGCCACTGGCCAAAAGGATGGACCAGCACAGAAGATCAACATCATCAGGCCAGGACTCTGAGGTCTACACTCATCTCCAGGCCAGCGGTCACTCTTTCAGGGATGAAGATGTTCACATCCTGGACAGAGTCAAGTCAAGTCATCTTTATTTGTAGAGCACAATTTAAAACAGATAAACTGTTATCAAAGTGCTTAAAGAGAGGAGAGGAACGATGGTTTGAGAGAGGAGTAAAGGAGGCCATCTTTGTGAAAAGAAATCGTCCATCATTAAACAGGGGTGGAGCCTCCGGGTTCAACTGTCCCCCTCTTACAATGCTGTGATTGCTAGTATCACTCAGCCCTCTGTGAACAGTAAACAGCCATCAGGTGCTAATGATCCATTGTTAGGCTGATGGTCCTTCTTGAGCATGTGATCAGCTGGTTCTGGTTGTCAGCAGCAAACTGGTTGATCCACTCTGAGAAGGTGCTATTTAAGAGACTGAGCTGAATACAGCACCTCAGACTGAGGAAGTCTCTCGGATGAGAGACGAAACGTTTCTATATTTTTTTGTTTTTGTGTGAATGTCCAGAGGACCAGATTTAACTTTTTTAGATTTTTCTACCCGGATTATTGAGCATGCATCAGGATACAAGAAAACATTATTAAGAACGTGTATTTACCTGCTGTTGCATTGCTCAACGGCTAATTGATTAGCATAGGAGTGGGAAGTCCGACATCATCTTTGTCAGTTCTGGTCCGCTCAGCAAACGGAGTTGAGCTGTTACTGTTAGACAAATCGGTTCGATTGGTGTCAAATCAGTCGACTGGTATCCAAAATCCAGCTTTAAATTTTGCTGTTACTGGGCTTTCAGCCCAGAGGAAGGACCCTATAGACAGCTGTCCCAGGCAGTGCGCATGTGCTTTGGGTGAATGTACAAAATTCAAAGCGCCAACTAGTGATCTGTCATGGTAACTACAGCAAATTGGGGGGGGGGGGGGGGGGGGCCTCCGGTTGCATGTAAACACCGAATCTGCTCTGTCAATGAAGATTTTTTTCCTCGAGTCAACACCCGAAAAAACCTACGTTTCCCCCGCCGTGTCTGTGTAAACGGGGTCTAAGAGAAGTTCGACAGTTGAGCTGAGTGTAGCAGTGAGTAGGCGGCCTTTCAGGGTGGAGTTTGCATGTTCTCTCCGTGCATGCGTGGGTCTTCTCCAGGTACTCCAGTTTCCTCCCACAGACCAAAAACATGCATGTTAGACTGACTGGTAACTCTAAATTGTCCCTAGGTGAGAGTGAGAAAGTGAATGGTTTGTTTGTCTCATTTGTCTCTATGTGTCCCTGTAATGGACTGGAGACATGTCAAGTGTGTCCCCCGCCTCTCGCACAGTGACTGCTAGATATGGGCACCAGTGACCCCCATGAACCGCAAAGGAAAAAGCGAGTAAAGATAATGAATGGATGGCTACACACATATAAACATACTGTATTTTCCACTGTGCATGTCGCACCGCCATATAAGTCACATCTAACACAGTGGAAAAAATAAACACGTTGCTTTGCCGTATAAGTCGCATCTATTATGCGTCACCGATGACGAGTAGCATTTGTTACACGTCATCGCTGACAACCCGGAAATGTGGGCTGAACCTGGAAATGTGGACTGGCTTTGTACCAAAAATCAATTGGCTGCCAAATGGCAGCTGTGGGAGCGTGCACGGGATGACTTTAACAAATAATTTAACAAGATTAACACCTAAATGCAATTATTGTTTGCTCAAAATTATAGCAAAGGTGTGTCTCAGTCTAACTTTTGCTTAATAAATGCACTTTGATGGTCAAATCAGCTACATTTCAAAACTCGACTCAGGGAAGCAGGAGCGCGAAGAGGGACAACTTGCTGTGCATTTCTTCTAAATTTAACAAGATAACCACCTAAAAATAATTATTTGTTTGCTCGACTTTATAGTAAAAGTGTGTCTCAGTTGAACTTTGACTTAATAAATGCATTGTAATGGTAAAATCATCTGCATTTCAAAAGTATTCCCTGCCTCGGTGCTCCAGGTGAGTGCAGACAGGGAGGAAATCATGAAGGGGGAACGCTGTGCATTTCTTCAAAATTTAACAAGATAACCACCTAAAAACAATTATTTGTTTGCTCGACATTATAGTAAAGGTGTGTCTCAGTCGAACTTTTACTTAATAAATGCACTTCAATGGTCAAATTAGCTGCATTTCGCAGGGGTGATGCAGTGAAATGAAGCTGATTTGATGGTTGTTCCAGGCATGATCCCAGAGCTGGACGAAGATGGTAGTCTATGGCAAGCCGATTGTGTCATTAATAGCCACTTCTACCTATTAAATGACACAATGGCATGCCACACTACTCGAGTGCCATCTAGTTGCTAAAAATGGTAGTGTTCAATATTTTCAGTCAGAATGAATGAAAACGATCATATCTCTGCCAAAAATTGGTTTATAAATATGAAAAAAACAACAACAAATAAGTCACTTTGGTGTATAAGTCGCAGGGCATGCAAATTATGCAAAAAACTGTGATTTATATGCTGAAAAAAGTCTAAAAGCTGTGTGGGTCTAAAGACTCTCACCCATTTCATATATTCTGAGGTGTGTGTATTGTTACCTGACAGACAGCAGGGACAGCGCTCTCATCACCATGGTTCGGGCCAGCAGCACCTGTGCTGCAGCTGTCACCCTCCTGAGTGCAATCACTCGGTCGTGTGTGTTCTGCAGAGCAGTGGCCTGCTCTCCAAGGGTCACCCTGCCTGACGAGCTCTTATCTACTGACGCTTGACAGCCTGAACACAAACACACGCTCAGTTTCTGGCATTACAGCCACCAGTTTCCTGTCAATCCGATCCTTACCTATTTGTAGAAGGGTCTCCTCCATGCTGTTGGTGGCAGTCACCATGGCGACAGAGGCTCCTAGTGGGTCACTGTCAGGGAACTGGACAGGCTCAGGGACAATCCTGCGCTCACTCAGACCTAAAGGGCTAGCCAAAAGTTCAAACTCCTCTTCCCCTGTCAACTTCTCATCTTCATCTACATCCAGCATGTCCCAGTCCTCTGCAAAAGGATACAAAGTCCAATCAAAACATGCTCACAGTGTAACAATATAACTGATTTCAAACAGTGTTACCTTCATACACGCTGTCCTGCTTTCCCAGGAGGTCCGGTGCCTGTCCCTTATACCTAAGCATACCACATTATAAGTTAAGTTACTGATAACGCCTGTGGTACTAACGGTTCCTATATAAAAACGTCAGTCTGAATCAGTTATTTTAATAAAATAATTCAACACACTTCTAGCTATCACTGTTATAGTAAAGCAGTGACTAACAGAGCTTTCTGTGTGTCTTTAACTCAGAAGTTTAATCCATCTAATATTGGTACATTTGTAGATGAACATATGCTGCTTATATATTCATAAATTAAACGGATTCTTTCATTTTTCTGGACTGAATATTGTCGTGCGTTGAATAATTAAAATGTGGACGGAAACGTGTTTATCTTTGACTCACCAACGACAGTGGGTCATTTATTTAAAAACGATTTAAACACATCACACATTTACATTAATTTGGCAAAATGATTTCAACAACAACATGGCTAATTTAGGCTAGTTTTACAAGGAGGAAACAATACGACGATTGTTTCCCTTTGCTTCCAGCTGTACAATTTGAATAACCATATGGCGATGGTTGAACAACTTCACAACAGACATTTCTAAAAATACCTGGAATGATTTCTAGCAAAAAGAAGAATTTTAAAGAGGGAAAATGAAGTTTATCTTGAGAGAGATGGGTGAGGGAATTTGTCTGTTATAACCAGATCAGCACGCTCCTTCGGACCAGCTTAACCCAACGGTACACTTTGGTTGAGATCTACTCTTTACCTTTGCAGATGATAGTTTCAGCGTTGGTGTAGAGCTTTCCTTTCAACTCTTCCAGCGTCTCCGTAAGAACACCTAAACCTCAGGAGTCGTGAGATCATCCAGAACAGACATTTCATAATTCCCCTGATCTTCTCCCGTTCAGCTTATTTTTCTTCCTCCAGCATCCTGAATTCCAGCCTTCTGAACTCTGGAACTGCTGTACTCACCAACTCACAGCATTCTTTCCGCGTTCTCCTCAGCGTTCTTCCCAGAACTGCCGAGAACTTCTCAGAACTACTGAGCTCTCCAGAACTCGACTGGAGCTGGAACCTTCCTGCAGAACTGCCGTGAACTAGGAAGTGTTGCACCTTTTAAAAAGGGTCACTTCCGGTTCATTTGAGGACTTTCTGATTGGTCGATGGACCAACAGAGGTGTGTTTTTGTGATGTAAGGTGTTATTAAAAAGTCAAGGAAAAAGATTAGATTGTTTAAGAACAGACAGAAGATATTATAAAGAA